TGGTAACTACATCAAAATTACCGCTAGGTTGACAAATATCATGTCATCTGGCGGAAAATCACCAGGCTTTTTCAAATCACGCGAGAATGTGTACAAAACAACAAAAATGGCGCCGGCAACGCTTCTGGGTCGTTCTCATCGAATGTCGGCGATTTTAAATTTGAGTGATAAATAATTTTAAATAATAATTTTTTTTTTTTTGCGATCATTGCACTTGCCCGGTGGGCAAATGCAATGAAATTTGTTCACTCCCAACAATAAAAAGTACTTGCCCCGGGAAATCGGCCGATGGTTAACATCGAGTCCTGTATAGTATAGTATAGTATAGTATAGTATAGTATAGTATAGTATAGTATAGTATAGTATAGTATAGTATAGTATAGTATTTTTATGATAAACACATGAAAGTAAAAATATATAATTAACAAAGGTAGGAAAAACATTCAAAACGGATTATACTTCTTGTTTGTATAGCATTGCTTGAGGGATTGAAAATGGGTTCCTGACAAGAAGTCAATTCTGTTTGGGGGATGGAATGAAAAAATTCTGGAATGGCTGGATTAGATGATCACTGTGAGCTCTGCCGTCTTTCAGCATGGATTCCTGCATCTCCAAATCAGGTCCTATGGCCCTGAAGTTTTCTCCTCCCTCATTGCTTTCATTCATTGTATGACATGTTTAAAAGTCTGGCGTTAGACCTCCAGAGGCTAGGCAGCTTCTGGACACAGACATACATTTTAAACCTGGCTGATTTCTCATGTGACGTGATCTTAAAAAGATTCTGTCTCCAGCTGTGGTGTGGATTCACTGTGCAATATGTTATATATGACTACCATGCACTCTCACTCACCACCACCTACATAGTGATTAGTGTATCTTATTACTGTGTCAATATCTGCCAACAACTGGCTCACAACTCAAGTCAAACTGTTCTAAAAGATATATGTTTTTAATATCCACACCCCTTGAGTTGTTGCTTATTTTGTTACATTCTGAACAACAAACTTTCTGCACTTAAAATGAAGGATAAGTTTTTTTTTAAAGGGGTCATAGAATAATCATATAGGGTTCTTGGTGCTGGTCCTTAAAGGAATAGTACACCCAAAACATGATTAGCCTTCATTTTCTACTCACCCCCATGCTGAACAACACTCTGGAGTACTTTTTTGATATCTCAAATGCATCTGGAGATCTGGGAGGCTTCTTGCTGTCTGCTGACATTCAAATAATGGAGGTCTATGGTGCCCGAGGCAGAAAGGTCCATAAAAGTCCACAAAAAAACTTGTCAATATTCCTCCATACTGCTCGTCCAATGTATTCCAAGTGTCCTGAGTGGGTAGCTTCCATAATTTACTCGAAACAAAGTCATTTAGAATGTTTTTAGAGCATAAACAGAAGTGTATAGGATTTCCTAAAAGCGCGTTCAGGAGTCTACGGAAACCGTGGCAGACCAAACCAGACGGAAGTGCGCATTCAGCGTCTGCTCTGCCAATAATGCAAGCGTAGAAGAAGAAATGTGCTGTTTACCTGTGCAAAGAAAGAAACAACGAAAGAAAAATGTCTGAGGACTTCAGTGTTGAGGAAGAGCATGAGTTCTTTGCCGAGCTGAATGCGCACTTTCTTTCCTTGGAAAGACTGAAAAATGTCCCCTTTCTCCATGCAGACTGGAACACTACATTTACGCCAGTGGTTCTGGCTCATTTTCAATAGAGGAACATCCTGCTTTGTAATTCTTGTAGAAATAAACCCAACAGTAGGATAAACAGCTAAACTGGTGTCTTACATCGGCCTCTATTCATGTTCTTGGGCCATTGAACCAGCGGGCGGATCTGTATGTCAATTTCAGGGAGTGATAAAAGTACAGGCCAGAACCAAATAAGGCAACATCCCTCAAGTCTGTCATTGGGGGCCCCTGTCCTGCAGCTTTTAGAGGTTTCTCTGCTTCAGCACAACTGATTCTGATGATTCAGTTCAGCAAAAGCCTTTTAATCAGCTGTCAATAAAAAATCAGCTGTGCTGGAGAAGGGAAATCTCTAAAACCTGCAGGACAGCGGCCATCGAGGAACGACTTTGGGCGTGCCTGTTCTACAGAATAGTAGGCACTAATGCTGCTTACCTTTAAGCGAATTTTAAGCACTCAGTTTCTAAATCAGCTTATTTGTAATCACCCTCACTGTAAGGTACTGTATTGATCTCAGTATAAACCCAGCTGTTTTGCCAAAAAAGGTCGGAGACCAAACAGCAAGACAGAAGAACAAAGCAGATAAGGCATGGAGGATGTGATGTCTAAAGGTTTAAAGCAGAGTTGGCAATAAAAAGATTCACCAAGCTCATCAGAAAACAAAAAAATCTCTTCACAAAAACAAACCCACCGATGTCCTACACACTGATTTGTGTTAAACCAAGATTTAGTTGAGTGATGCGAATTGAAGCCCATATTTTACATCACAATCGCTGCTAATTTATTAGACAAAAAAAATAATCCTCCAAAGCTTTAAGAATTGACAGACCACAGGTCTAAAAACCATCCCATATAGACTGCTTCCTGGTGAACCAGTCACCAACACAAGCCAAGAGGCGGACGTATGGCACGGCGGCCATGTTGTGACCATCTGTGGCTTCTGGCTCTTCAATCATCAGGTAACGAGGGGGTTTAAGGCCTGGAGCAGGTCAGGTTATGCACTTTATGGGTGAATGACGAAGCTTAACGGCTGCTCCGATGTTTTTACTGTTTCCAAGATGGAAGCGTCCCTTTTGATCACTACAAGCTTCTGA